CTTTGCCCGACCCGGGAATCGAACCCGAGACCTCTTGACCAGCAGTCGCACTTGCGCCCACTCGGCCAACGAGGCAGTTAAAATAATAATAAATAAAATATGTTTATTGTCACAAAATTTCACAATATTATCTACATTTACAGAAATACAACAATTACATGGACGAGTGTGAATTACAAATTACTGCTTTCCAAACTAAGCTATAAGCTGAATTCTTTGATTTAACTTTTTTCATTACTTTTCGTGTCTCTTAAGTAATAGTTAATGTCTATTTATTTGTAAATAAAGATTTTTCTAAGCTATAAGTTTGTATTTTGGAAAACAGTGGTTCAGGCGTGGAGTATATCACATAGTCTGATAATATGTCGCATAAACAACATAGCTCTGTCTAATTATCTCCTGTCTTTTTCTTCCCGATGAAGTAAACAGAGGTGCAAATTTACAATGCAACTTCCACTTTACCCTAGTTATTTTAATGATTTATATACGACCGAGTTACTCGGGTTCGCATTTCAGTATAACACTACCTATAGGTTTTACTTATAGGATCTATGTACTTCGAGTTTATACCATAAACTAAAAAAATAATTTACGGCTATCACTAGGAACATTATGTAAATGTTCGGTCTTAAATCTTTATAATTATTTCAGCAAAATTAAAATTGCGGTTGGCGCTAAATGAGTTTACTTTCTCGCCACAAATATGTTAGCGTCTCGGCACTTTTCCAAATAAAACACCTGTATATCGATGTTTTATATCGACTAGACTAGAATACGCAGCTGGATAAAAAACCATTCGTGCCAGGTAATGGGAGCAATGCTTGTTTTAGGTGATCATCACGTGAAAGAGCCATGCACGATTTGTAATAACTCCTCAGGCCGGTGTCTATGAATGCGCTGATTGCTTAGCCATTAGGCAACCGTCTACATCCTCACATATCCGATAAGAATGCATCTACGATTGGTTTACGTAACACATTTTGTGTAAAATGCAATAATTATGTTTGCTTTGCTTCTTAAATACTTAGTGACTGATCCTATTATATTGCCGAACTTCTTACTTCTTACTGAGAATTAAGAAAAATTGTCTCTTCTCCATAAAAGTATTTATTTCAGTTTAAAAAATACTTCCAAAGATTGTACGGGGTCAAAAATCTGTCTACTGATCTGTACCTACATACCTAAGTCAGTAATAGCCTAGGTGGAGCATTTTAAATTCATACAACGCAATGTTTGCGTACCTAGACCAGTTTATTTTGATTTCAATGAAAGCAATAGCAATAGCAGCTAACTGAAAACGATTTATTAAACATCTGCAAATACTTTTGATTACTTGTTTTGACTCCGTTTATTGGAACAGAATTTCTAACAATGTTCCTAGCTCAAACAGACGAAATCTGCAATCTAAACATGAAATTAAAAATCTATTAACTGATTTCAGATTCACTTTTAATGTTCAACCAACTTCTTTGGTATGCAGGTGAGAAAATAAAGGTTAATATATGATGATCGTAACTGTTTTAAGTAAGTAAATTGTATGCTTTTAGCAAAGATATTATCTTTTGTAACTGTTCTGTGGGAAAAAGAATCGAACCAATGTTAAGTACTGGTTTAATCGTTATTTTCTTGCCTGCAAAGTAAATTAGTTGGTTGTCTGTATCTATTTATTTTAACAGTGCACGATGCACTTCCCTTGCAATTGCAAATTTCTCTATAATCTAGTGGTATTGAAAATCTGATATCCAGAATCTAAACCGATGTCTTTCCTTATGTAGGTATTTATTATAGTCATGCCAAGTAAAAATAAATCAAAGTAACCTTACCCACATATAGCGTATATTACACACTCGACTTATTAGGCGGACACTTGCAAACACATCTAAAACTGTCCGCGTTTATTGTCTTAAGTAATAATGTACCAGATTAATATTAGACATACTTCTATCAGTACGCCTACATTTGCATGGAACTGGATCCATTAACGGGCGGTGAATATAAACAACACCATCGGCTGACGGCGACTTAAAAGGCGTTAGGGAGAATTTAAATCTCCCGAACGCTTTTTGTTCGCGCCGCACAAGTAGACAATGTCCCTTATAATGCTATGTTATGTCCGTAGTCCGAACACTACATGACACCATTTCATATCTCATTTACTACTGCAATATGAGAGCTGCAATTTGCCTTATCTTGCTTTTAACTATTAACCATGATTCAAGCCGGTAAATTGAGTGCAGCCAGCATTAACTTAAAATTATATTATCAGCTAATTCACTAAGACAGTTTAGTAATCTGAATCTAACTTCATAGATAAAATTCCACTAGTTAACACCAGATACATATAGGGACTAATTCCTTAGTACCTACCTATCGGAAACAATGGTATTCTTACAATATCGTTTAGTTATTTTCTCATAACAGCAGTACCTATTTTTTTGTTCATTTGTACACACATTTGAAGTCAACCCTTACAGCGGCATAGGTTACATTTAACCCTCGGACAGCGGATGTAAACAAATGTAAATCACGACTGACGCAACTGCCACATGTGTTGTTTGAGGTTAAAAAACTTACTAATTAGTATCTGATTCTGACACATAAAAAATCAACGTTTTACAACATGTTTTGTAAAAGATTAGGTCGGATACGAAAACGGAGAGTGTAAATGTTTTGGGAACAAAAAATATGGATGGATTGTTGGGTCAGCGGAACGAAGAGTGCTAAAACCTCAACCAAAAAAAAATTTGCGTGTAATAAAACTGATTCTGGAACATAAATTTCAATCACCAACACTTATACTGGTGGAATTTTGATGACTCATGTTATCATGTATGGCAGTATAGAAATTAAGATTAAGATTTTTTCGTATCTTGTTCCTTACCTAAACCTTAGCATAATCGGAATTTTATAATCCAACATGATCGTGTTCACTATTAAACTTCTAAAGTGCTCACCTAAATGCAAAGAGGAAGAAGAGTGAGTACTTCTAATATTTCGCATATTAATTACTATAAGGACACAGTTAGGTATTATCTTGGCAACCACATAACTAAATAGGTAACGAGAACCAGTTATTATTAGTTCAAACTCATCATAAAACAACCATAAAAAAATAAATATCCAACCCGAACTTGATCACGAAATGAAAAAGGTCATTTGAAATGGAGAGGGTTGCCCGTCGGCATCGCGTCGGTCAGGATGTAGCCATCAGTAGAATGAATCCCTTTATTTTCATGGCGTGCCATACGCGGCTCTATCAAAATATACAAGAAGACCGAAATGTAACCAACATGCCGCATCCACACGACGGCTATACGTGTTTTGACGAGACGACGTAGCACTAATACCTTTGTCTAACTAAACGCCAGAGCATTTATCATAACAACACCGACCAAACTAACATAGTACTTACCTATACTATACATTTCCGCAATTTATATCCAGCGAGCTTGCAGTTCGACAGCCAAGATATTAAATGTACCTACTTACTTATCTGACTACCATATTTCAGTGTTACAAGCTTGTAGCCATTCTATTCTAAAAGAGATGCGTTCACATTATGTTTTGAAACTGCGACTGACATCGACTTAGGTATTTGGTGACAATAAGTAGTTAACTAATAGCAATGTTCCAGAATGCTACTGAATTGATGGAGTTTACTAAAATAAAATTATTTATTTTGTTGCGTGTGGTCATAATTTCCAATTGCATTGACAGTCGATAGCGTTTTTCATCTATTGAATATCAATATATGTAGTCGCTTTATGTAATTAACTAGCGACCCGCCCCGGCTTGGCACGGGTGCAATATGCATGTATTATACATATAAACCTTCCTTAAGATTCCATCTATCTAATAAAAAAAACGCATCACAATCCGTTGCGTAGAAACATCTAAGCATACATAGGGACAGACAGACAGCGGATAGCGACTTTGTTTAATACTATGTAGTGGATCATTTTAGTATCAACAGATATCGATGCTTCATTTCAAACGAATCGATGACGATTTGATTAGTACCGTATTTTTAGACTCAGGTCTCAAATATTTAGTATTTACATCGCAATAAAGGTGACTCCGACTATGTAAGTAACTAATAATATTAAGAGATTCTGTTATGTTAGATACAAAAAGAATAAATTCCGAATGATAAGTCTATATAATAATATGATAAGATCATATTGATGCTAAGTGAATGGAGGAAACGTACGTTTTTCAGTATTTTCAGCTCGTTTATTTGTAGATATCCAGCCTGATTTTTTTACATATACAAATTATTCCTGAAGCATTCCTACTTAGGTTATTGGTAAAAACGGCACTGAAATGACATTGTACGTGCGCTGAAGAGAGACTGAGATAGTGTTTAGTGCGCAACTACCAAAGCTAGCGTGCACGAGGAAGTAAGAAAGTGGGTGACTTGAAACAACTTATACTGAAAGCAACGTATAAGAAAGAAAGGGCATTCTGCAACGTCTCAGTACTTACACAATGCACGTAGTAGGTGGTCTCCTTTATTATCATGTTTGCCTAGTACTTGAGATGCAAACACCTGCACTTTTGCGGGTATTCCTTAAAACTTGCAATCGACACTATCAATGAGTTTCGCCTGCATGCTTTCGTGGCGCATTCATATAATCTTTACTTATTATTAAAATTCGAAATCAAGAACCCAATGTATTTGTATTCTTATCTTACTCGTTGTATGATTTACTATTGCAGTATGATACTTATTTGGTATGCATTATGCACAGGAGGCTAGAAGTGAAATGAAAATGCAGATTACGCCTATATTAAATTAGTTTATTACTAATCTCATGCAAGTTAAAAAAAATAGAAAATAAAAACAATCAAATCCATTAATTGCAACTAGTTATGTCGTTTTTGCTAGAATTTCCACCATAATCAGTCGGAAATTAAACAAAAAATCTGTCATTTATCCATTTAACTTAGAAAATGAACAGAATCCTTAGCAATTTGTTGAATTTTCTGTTGATTAGGGTTCACAATGAGAGCACGTTGCCCGGCATTACTACTTGTGACTGATATGGAAACGAGATTTGGTTAGCCGTAGGACCGACAGCGAGCTCTGTTGCATAATACAACGTGTCGCCATCTTGCACTGGCTGCAAGTTGGCCAAGTTTAGAAATTGCATTTGGTTATCGTGACCTTCTCCTTGTACAAAATTATCCATAACTAAAGAACCATCTCCAACATGCGAACGCATATGAAAATTTAAATGACTACTTTGTTTGAATCTCCGTCCACATACGGAGCACTCGAATGGTTGTATGTTGGTGTGAGTGCGCATATGTTGGCGAAGATGCACCGACTGCGAGAAACACTTGCTACAAATGACACACTTGAACGGCTTCACCTTGGTGTGTGTCCGAAGATGTTGGTCCAGTCCTGCCTTTTGTGTAAATGCTTTCGGACAGAACGTGCAGGCAAAGGGGCGGACACCTGTGTGCATTCGCATGTGCTGCTGTAAGCCGCCTTGTTGAGTGAATCGTTTAGCACAAATCGAGCACTGATGCGGTTTCATCTTTGCGTGGACGATACGATTGTGCTCGTCGTACTCGGTGCTATCCAGGAATATTAGACTGCAAATGCGACAAGAGAAAGTAAACTGAGTTGAGGCGTGCAGTTGTGCAGGGATCGTTTCATTCGGGTAGAAGTTCCGGTCCAGGCGCTTCTCGCAAACCTGACAGCGTAGTGCGGCCTTGCGTCTTTTAGTATGCTCTTCCCGATAGTGAAGTGAATAATCACAGCAGTTGAAGAAAATCTGACGACACTGCAGATCCGGACGCAGGGTCGAAGGGAATGTGCAAGTAAATGGCCCCCTGGTTGAAACAAATTAAAAATAAGACCCCAGGCTCATTTAGTCTGTGATACATAAGTATACGAAAAAAATCACGACATAAACTAAATTAAATAACATATACTCGTGTATTATTAAACATATCATTAAAATAATTATAACAGTAACACGTACCTGAGATCAATCGGTAGTTTAGGTTTCATTTGTGTCTTTTTCACAACACCATCCAGTCGGTATCGCTTCATGGCATCGGTATCAATGTCGTTTCTCTCGATTTTGATAATTAAATAAGTTGTGTCTTCGGAAAATGTACGCGTGATAAAACCATCACGTCCTGTCGTTTGCTCATCATTGTTTTTATTTAACGGTATGAAATTGAAGCCGCATAGCCCGTTTACGTTCTGTTCAAGACAAATTAGTTACTAATGAAAATATAACCATTTTTTCTTTACTTCCTGCTACGCGGATAGACTACATTTTGTAAAGTTTATTAGGTAGGTACTAAGGAGTCTTCTACCTCAAGTCTTATTTTGAGTGCACTGGGCACTATTGTCTCCAAGAGACCAAGTTATTAGAAAATAATATTTTATATATTAATAATATTATGTCTTACCGCAGTCTTACATTATACTTAATAATTATAATAAAATTGCGACTGCCTCGTTGGCCGAGTGGTGGCAAGTGCGACTGCTGGGCAAGGGGTCTCGGGTTCGATTCCCGGGTCGGGCAAAGTATTACTGGGTTTTTAAAAATCTCAGTGGTAGCACGGAGTCTGGAAATGTGCCCGGTATATGGCAATAGGTTTACCCCCTATTACATGGGACTCATAACATAAATAGTGAAAAGTGGGTGTTACATTGTACAGTGGCATTAAGTGCCGAAATGTGTACCTCTGCCTACACCTTCGGGGATAAAAAGGCGTGATGTTATGTTATGTTAAATAATAAAATTTAATATATATATATATATATATATATATATTTACATCCCGCTATCGATTGGACGTCCCATGAAGGCGAAAGTGCATTTAATCTGGCGTCCACCTGCTTATGGCGTCCGCATACCGGACGCCACTTTTTTGGCCTATGCTACTTAGGTCCTTTTGGTCCTGGCTGCACGTAGGTTAAAAATCGACAGAGGCCAAAAGATCGGTTCAATGGCTGTTATAGTATTTTGAAAAGTTCCCAAAGAAATCTCAGCGCAGATAGAGCGCTGCTGTAGCGCGTATATCCACAGCTGTATATTTTTGGGATTTTCTGATTATAAGTCCGCGTATTTGGCGTCCTCAAAAAAATAACAGCGACGTTGCCAGTTCGCTCATTAAATCCGTGGAAATAGTTCATAATATTATTTACGGCATTCAAAACAATATTCATCGTCGTACATTTCGGATGTGTTGCGTATTATTTGGAGTCCGATTTTATTATAATCATGTGATTGCAACTTACGACAACTTATCTGCAACCCTGTTCTCAATTTGTAAATGAGTACCTATCAGTGATATATTATAATAGATGAGGGTATAAATTAATTCCTTAAAGGGATCTTAGAAATAAGTACTAAAGTGACAAAATTATATGTCTTACCACAAAAAAGGTTAACCAGAGTTTAACTCGTATTAAATGTGTACTTAGATAGTATATAAATTTTGACGTAATTTTATTAACTTTATCTATTTATGTGGTTAGAAGATGCATCTAACACTGAATAATTAATTAATGTTGTATTACTGATCAAATCAATCAACGTTTGTCTTCTTATTTCTAGCCTTGGCGTGTTATAAAGATCCAATTAGGAATTATAAATGTTTTTGATTACAAAACATAAACACTTCATTAAAAGTGATATCCATATTTAACATAACATAACATCACGCCTTTTTCCCCGAAGGAGTAAGCAGAGATGCACATTACGGCACTTAATGCCACTGTACAATGTAATATCCACAGTTTTACTATTTATGTTATGAGTCCCATGTAATAGAGGGTGAGTTTGTTGCCATATACCGGGCACACTTCCAGACTCTTGAAAAACCCAGTAATACTTTGCCCAACCCGGGAATGGAACCCGAGACTCTTTGCCAGGCGATCGCACTTGCGACCACTCGGCCAACGAGGCACTAAAATGATATCCATATTCTTTGTTTTTATTTGCTTACTTAGAATTGGTAACTTCATATCAATAAGCTGCCAATTAAATATTTGATACAATTAGAGCTGGTTTCAAAGCTAGGGGATATGGGCAGCGCGGCTGAAGCGCGGGCTTCAACAATAGAGGCATCAGGCAACAATCCAATAGAGGAGTTAATCGAGTGGGCACAACTAGAAGTATTAAATTAGGAATCTTGCCTTAAATGAAACTGAAATTCAATACAATATTTGCGCACAAAGATCAGATTAGGTGCGGTTTTCAGTTACTTAAGGTTTAGATTAAAATAAAAGTGTATCTCATAGATCATAATTTCTAGCGATAAAGTCCACTACTGAGACCTCTACCTCTATGACAGTCGCGTCGCAATAAAACGATGCTAGAGCTCTCATCATCTCCAAGCGCGAGGCATTTCAGCAGCGCTGCCCAATCCTCTAGCTCTGAAACCAGCCTAAATGAAAGAAGTTTTGAACATATATACTTAATAAAACCATTCTAGTAATAAGATATATTCTTATTATCTTTACTAATTACGGACGCCCAATAGCTATACGTGTACGTTCAATAGCTATATACAGACGCCCAATAGCTATATACGGACGCCCAATAGCTATATACGGACGTTCAATAGCTATATACGGACGTCCAATAGCTATATACGAACGTTCAACAGCAATATACTGACGATCAATAGCTAGGTGATCTAACATGATACCTTTTTTTTAGGGATAAAAAATCATCCAATGTCTTTTGCCACCGGCCGCCGGCGGCTGCACTGGTGAGGCGAGTGGAAGTTTCAGAGGAAGTTTCTCTTACTGACTTTTTTTAAGCGGGGAAAATCATCGATTGACTGCTCCCGCCTGGGTAAGGCGGGAGGGAGTGTCACTCTTACTGACTAAAAACCACCCCGTTCCTTCTCCTGCACGTCCAGCCGGAGCCCCGGTTACCCGTTAGGTTCTCCGCGACTCCGACTCGGCATCGGCCCTGTTGGGCCCCATCTGTGGTGGTTTTATGGCTCTTTGAGGCGCGCGCGGAACGCGACGCGCCGCACGTTCAGGTCTGTTTCTGGTCGGACGGGACCACCCATGCTCGCCGTCCGCAGGCCCGCGCTTACGGTGGCCGGAGATCGTCCCGCGATCCCCGACGCCCGGTGTGTCCTTCGCGATGGCTGGGTTGCGAGGAGGCAGCGCTTCGCTGCCTCACGCGTCCCGCCTCCTCCTTAGCTAGCTTGACTGCTTCGCAAAAGGAGGAGACGGCATCCCAGTCCCCCTCGCTCCGCATCATGGCCTGCACTAGGCCCGGACGCGAGAGGTCGCCATCGCCGATCACTTCCCTTAGGATACGGCGGTGCTCAGCCCACGCAATGCATTCCGCTATAGTGTGTTCCACCGTGTCCTCAGGGCGGTCCTCACAGTGATGACACCCGGACGTTTCCTCCCGCCCCATCAGACACAGGTACCTTCCGACTCTTACTGACTTAAAACCACCCCGTTCCTATTCCTGCACTTCGAGTCGGAGCCCTGGTCACCCTTTAAGTCCTCTGTGCCTCCGTATGGGCATCAGCTTCATCCGTGGTGGTCTGATGGCTCCTTGGGGCGTATGCGGAACGCGACGCACCGTACGTTCGGGTCTGGTTCTGATCGGGTGGCAAGTCATCCGTGCTCGCCGACCGCAGGCCCGTGCTTACGGTGGACGGAGACCGTTTCGCGATCCCCGACGCCTGGAGGGTCTCTCGTGACGGCTGGAGCGTGAGGAGGCTCGTTCCCTCACGAGCTCCGCCTCCTCCTTAGCTAGCAGGACTGCTTCGCAGAAGGAGGAGACGGCATCCCTGTTTCCCTCACTCTGTACCATGGTCTGAACCAGTGTCGGACGCGAGAGGTCGCCGTCGCCGATCACATTCCTGAGGACACGATGGTGTTCAGCCCACGCAGGGCACACTGCCACCGTATGCTCCACCGTGTCCCCCGGGTGGCCCTCGCCTCGCGTTTCCTCCCGCCCAATCCGAAGCAGGAACATACCGAAAATTCCGTGTCCGGTAAGCACCTGCGTCAGGCGGTAGATAAGGACGCCGTAGCGTCTCTGTCTCTCAAGTCACTCCTCAAATCTAACATGACACCTTCTGAGGAAGTACGTGGATGTTCAATAGCTATATACGGACGCCCAATAGCTATATATAGACGTTGAATAGCTATATACGGACGCCCAATAGCTATATACGGACGCCCAATAGCTATATACGGACGCCCAATAGCTATATACGGACGTTCGATAGCTAAGTGATCTTACATGATACCTGCTGAGGAAGAAACTTTCTTCGCGCGCATGGCCATCATCAGGCTCCGTAAGAGACCCCTGCCATTACCATGTCAATTGTCAGGATCCGCAATCAACGGACCTCCCATTTCCGTGTGTGAGCAGTATAGTGATGTAGTTTTTTACTTGATGACCATAGCGTTTGGGTCAACTGAAATTTGCATGACCATTTTTGAATTCCTAACGTAGCCCAGTAGATGGTGCTAGTCCAGCAGTGGACTTAAATAGGCTGATGATGATTAATAACTATATACGGATGCCCAATAGCTAGATGATCTTTCACAGTTATAGATGATCTTACATGATGACCGCTGGGGAAGAAACTTTCACGTATTTTACTCTTCCTTGCTTTGAAATAAAAATTGAGTTCTGAGTTTCTTTCTTTACATAAATTTGTAAAACCAGTACGCCGCGCCGATCACATACGGGCTGAACCGATTTGTATTTATGTATGGAATAGACTAGGCAAACATTTAAAAAATATGTTATTCCTACTGCGGCATCTTCTCATGTAAAAATCTCATAGAAATCTCATTTTTTTTTTGCATCTTGTTACCAATATTATACCAATATCGGGCAGTAGTCTAAGTATTGATAGATTTTACGAATATTGTAATACTGTTAAAACTCTCTCCCAGACGAGTGACAAGAGAGAGGAAAAGAAAGAGACAAGTGAACGCAAAGCTGGCAACGTTGCACTCGCAAATACCATCCACGCTGTGGGGACGTTAATTAGCCGAAGCCATGGTTAAATCACGATCAATATATCTAGGAGCCCAATTAGTTATCACGATGGTTTGGGGTTCAAAAATGTTGCAGCATGACTGCAAGAAGAATATCGCGAAAAATAAAATTATCGGAAAATGACGTATCCTACAAAGCTGGAAATCGAATAACTAAGCAATATTCATCAAGACATATGAAAAAAATTAAGGGGAACTGGGGGACGTCATAATGATGCGCGACGTGTGTGACGCCAAAATGATTCCAGGATGTAAATATATATATATAATCTATATATATATATATAATCTATATATATATATATATATATAGATATATAATACTTAAATTTAAACGTAAACAAACAAATCTAATAATAGGGAGATTGCAACTCACTTGATCACTAAGCTGTGCAGGTTTCTGCTGGAATTCCACGTCACTATTAATGACTTCATCATCATGCTGTGTCTTTTTATGATTTTGCAAAGCATTCTTATTGTAAAAAGTTTTCATGCACAATCTACAAGTGAAGTCGGCTGGCGTTTCACCCCAAATAATGGGATACTGTAACTGTTGAATTGTCATAATTATTTTCTAATACGACGTTGAGTATTTTATTACGAGCATTATAGGTAAGTATTTATAGACTACTCCTGCTATTTAAGGCTTAAAACTACAAGCACAAATAGACGATCGAACTGAACCGTCACCATACCGTCAATTTGGTTCGGCGGTCCAGTGGTATCCATGGGAAATGTGCGGCGGACCGCTGTGGGCACTGTCCAATATGGTCCGGAGTCCGGAGCGGACGAAAATGACGATTCGGTTCGATCGCCTACTTGTGTTTTTAGACTAGAATCACAAGAGTAAAGGCAGAAGGGAGGCGTCTTGCTTAAAAAATATATCTCTGTTGTAACTTTCAATTATACTCGTGTCGGTAAGTAAAGTATGTAAAATGAAATGCGTATATATAAAATACTTACAGGATTACCAGGTAAAAGAAGCAATGGTTCCGACGACAGTACACTGTCACCTACTTCTGCCATTTTTCACTTAAAAATACTTTAAAGCCATTAAGACTGTTAAACAATAATTGTCCACAGAGTAGGCGCTTTCAATCTTGCAAAACTTCCTAAAATAAATAAGTAAAAGTATGGAGAATGACGTAGGTTAGATAATTAGGTACTGCCTACTGAGATAACATCTGAGGCGTTGATTTTTCGTATAATAATGTAGGTTACGTTATTCTTCGTTTCAAAGTCCATAATTTTTGATATTAGAAATACACAATAGGTATAATTAACTTGGTTCCCCGTGAGCAAAGCTGCGGGCAATTTTAACTGTGCAGTTTCACCGTACAGTGTACCTAATCGTAGTTGGGGTAGGTCCATAGGTCCATACAGTCTACACACACAATTAAAATAAAACTATGCGATATTTCAATATTTTACCATCATGACCTTCATAGACGACCCTTTTCTACTTCACAGTTAGGTACTATTCAGTTTGACTGTACAGTCCGAATGTACCTACAGTTAAACTGCAGTTAAAACTAAAGGTGTGTAGGCTGTAAAGCTTGTTCATGTTAACTAAATATTTGATTTAAAGCCTCAGTATTTGTCTAGAGGTTTCTTTGTTTATTTGGTAAAACTTGCTTTAGTAAGTTTTTCCTCAACGTTGCAACGCTCGGTTCGCTAGTGAAGAAAAGGTATGCTAGCGCCATCTCTTGAAATCGCTGATAAATAATATACTAAGCTATAAAGCTACGATACGATTTTCGAGCCGTGAGTCGTGACAACCGTAGTTTTGTAAATATGTTTGTTTTCTATGATTAAAATTACGTAGGTACCTAGAATTGGCATTTTTCAGATAAATACTCAAAGTGGATAATTAAAATACTCATTATAACTCTATTATTTATCCAGTTATCCTAAAAAAACAGAACTCAAGTGATATAGGTAAGTATCCTACCTATATTATCAATATCAATTTTCAATATTTTTAATATTGTTATAATAGGTTTGGTTTGGTTAGGTGAATTTAAAACAATGAATAACTTACCTTCTGTTCTCGGAAAGTTTTAAAGGCACAAATTAATGTCCTGAATTAATATCAAAATTAATTCTATTAAGTAGGTATCACTAAAAGATATCAAGATACAAACTCGATTTCAGTGCGCTTGAAACCACCTTCAAACCCACATAATATCTTGTCTTGTCCTTCTTTTAGGTTATCTACCAAGATTTCACCATCACTACGTCTTTTATCAATAACGCACTCTAAATATTACAACATGAAATTAATAACCACATTATTTTATAAATTTCATAGGACTTCAAAATGACCGCTTTTCTTTTGCTTCGGTTACAGATAATATAAAAGACAGACAGGTCTTGAAAATGAAAACCTACCATTAATATGTAACATTTAGAACATATTATTGTTTACTAAACTCTCTTCAAACTTAAATAAAAAATATATTAACAACAACTTCAACAGATTAGCTTTAAAAATATTTCATATTTATTAAAGGTCCCTTAATGCTAAACATCAAAACGAACATTCGAAGAAATCTAGCATTATACAGCTTTCAATTAGCAGCTGTAACTTTTTAGATATTATAAATAGGTACCTAAAAACATCCTAAATAGGACTGAAAAATTGGAATTGAAAAAAGGATAAAATATAAAATATTTCTATTTTAAAATTTATTACCAATTTTATATGGGTCTGAGCAATGGCAACACATATTTGAAATTGAACAACAAATCAAATCACGTCAGAAATAAGTCCACGGATTTAATTTACAATTTATTGCAATTTATGATATTGTTGTCTTTATCTACCAAGTGACAATACGTGAGAGCGGGTGGTTCCTTATCTGTCATGCTAGATTATATTTCGCACACGTATGACGCCTAACTGCAACGCACATTTTTCACCACTCAACACTCACCCTGTGCGTCTTTATAATTCTTTCTGTCATAGAAGAACAGTTCTAAGATTCTTGAAGAGCCAGTAACCATTGCTACGAAAATGGCTGGATCAGCGTTGCGGCGGCTTATGGCGGAATACAAACGTGAGTGCAGAGTACTACCATTATTTAATTTGGAAAGTTTACTTTCACAATAATTTATTTATGTAGGTAGAAGGTAGATAGTTCGATAAATAAGTCTAATTAGTATGGATTATTTGTACCAATATTGAAATGTATATTTCTATAATAACTTTACAATAACCACCCAAAAAAGGAGATAGCTAGGCAGCACCTAGATGTGTAAAAATAGTAATTATCTGCCTACCTACCATTTTTTTGTTAAACCAGCCATCAGCTAAAAAGTACATTGACCCAACAAAAAGCACTACCTCAGTAGGTAGTTTATATGTAGTATTTTATTGTCACAGGGCTGAGACAGTGCAGTCTCAGCATTGTGACAATAAAAGCTCATAAAAATAAATAAACCAATTTTTCAGAGCTGACTATCAATCCTCCAGAGGGCATTATTGCAGGACCTATTAACGAAGAGAACTTTTTCGAGTGGGAGGCACTTATCACGTAAGAACACTTCATAGTTGAAAACTTAATATTAGAACTCTTTTAGAAAACATTAAATGTAATATCTGATAAATTTGCAGAGGACCTGAAGGTACATGCTTCGAAGGTGGCATATTTCCTGCAAAGTTACACTTTCCCCCGGACTACCCACTGAGCCCACCTAAAATGGAGTTCACATGCGAGATGTTTCACCCAAACAGTAAGTACCCGCCTATTACTGCATATTTTTAACAAAAATTAACATAGCTTGTTCTTCAGCATAGTTACCCACTTGGTAATTATTTTTTGTAACTTACTGTTGCATTATGAGATTATTATCATCCCCTTTTTCTATACAGTATGTTGTTATAGTAGATAAAAAAGTCATCACAATAAGGAGAAGCATTTAATGATATCATCATTTTTGCAACATGTCAGGCCACTGCTTTGTGCCATACAATTGACCAATGGATTGTAATTGAATAATTTACAGAATTATTTTCATACTACACAAATCTTGACCCTGCCAATGACAAACAACAAAAAGTCCAATTTGCCACAGTCGTTGGACAGTTATGTGTGCATACATTTCTGAGTTATATTGTCCAATCACCGGTTTATGAACTACTCATTTTTAATAATTAACTTTTTTGTTAACATTATGTCTCCCCTTAGCCAGTTTGCATAGTAAAAATATTACATTTGTATTTTATTTTCGTATGTATGAACTAAAATATATTATATATTATATATTATCTATATATATATAAAATTCAAAGGTGATTGACTGACTGACTGACTGACATAGTGATCTATCAACGCACAGCCCAAACCGCTGGACAGAAAGGACTAAAATTTGGCATACAGATAGATGTTATGACGTAGGCATCCGCTAAGAAAGGATTTTGATAATTTTCACCCCCAAGGGGGTAAAAAAGGGGATGAAAGTTTGTATGAAACTTTGTCAATTTTTAACCGATCGGGTTTAAATTTGGCATGCAGATAAATGTTATGACGTAAGCATCCACTGTGAAAAGATTTTGATAATTTCCACCCCCAAGGGGGTAAAATAGGGGATGAAAGTTTGTATGAGATTTTGTCAGTTTTAAACCGATCGGGTTGATATTTGGCATACAGATAGATGTTATGACGTAAGCATCCGCTTTGAAAGGATTTTGATAATTTCCACCCCCAAGGGGGTAAAATAGGGGATGAAAGTTTGTATGAGACTTTGTCAGTTTTAAATCGATCAGATTGAAATTTGACATGCAGATAGATGTTATCACATAGGCATCCGCTAAGAAAGGATTTTGATCATTTCCAACCTTAAGGGGGTAAAATAGGGGGTGAAAGTTTATATGAAGCTTTGTCAGTTTTACACCGATGCAGATGAAATTCGGCTTGCAGGTAGATGTTATGACGTAGGCATCCCCAAGTAAGGATTTTGATTATTTCCACCTCCAATGGGGTAATGTAGGGGATGAACGTTTGTATGAAGCTTTGTCATTCTTACACCGATCGGGTTGAAATTCGGCGTGCAGATGGATATTATGACGTAAACGTCCCTTTAGAAAGGTTTTTTAACATTCTCACCCCAAAGTGGGTAAAATAGGGGGTGAAAGTTTGTATGATACTTTGCCAGTTTTAAATTGATCGGGCTGTAACTTTGCATGCATAAAGTTACTATGACATAGGTATCTCTTTAGAAAGGATTTTGATAAATTCCACACCTTAGGGGATAAAATAGGGAATGAGAGTTTGTATAAATCGTCTTAGCCATTGAATTTAGATTCATTGAATCTTTTTGAATTACATTCGGTGAACGATGATTTGGGACCTAGGTAACGTTTGATAGTTTCTATCACAGATGTCCCACGGGAACGAGAACTATGCGTCAATGCCCCAGGACTCCCTAACTCTTAACCACTGAACTTATTTTAGAGAGATTCGGTACAACAATAGTCGATAGAATAGTTTTTATTACTCAAACCTTACGTGATCGGGCACTGTACTGGTAAGATCCCTGCGGGATTATTTATTTATTGAAACTACGATAAATCATTTCAAAATAGGTAAATCTTACTTGGGCACTGAATTGATTCTGATTAATTCTGTCAAAAGTCATTAATCTACGCGGACGAAGTCGCGGGCAACAGCTAGTATATTATACAATGCTTTTCATAATATTATATAATAGTTATACATCATTGATTGTTTTGTTAGAACTGTGTGACTTTTATGCTATAGCGTTTTTTTTTTTTATATTTGGTGGGGCCATGTTTGACCACTATCTCACCTGATGGTAAGCGATGATGTGGTCTACGGTGGAGCACGTCGTCCCATAAGCAACCTATTCACTCGGGCCTTGAAGACTCTCAGGTTATAGCCTTCAGGAAATACAGACTCTGGCAAAGAATTCCACTCTTTAGCAGTACGCACAAGGAAGCTTGAAGCGAAGCGCTTCGTGCGTGTGGGCGGAACATCTACCATGAATCGGTGACGCTTCGCGGATTGTCTTGTGGTACGATGATGGAAAGGACTAGGGGGAATCAAATTGTGCAATTCCCCCGCACACTCCCCGAAATGTATCCGGTAGAAAACCGAAAGGCTTAAAACCTTACGCCTGTGTTCGAGGCTTTGAAGCCGAGCCTTCACAAGCGCATCATCGTCGATGAGCCTCCTGGCACGCCTCTCAATGTGCTCTAACGCGTCCAGCTGATATTTTGCCGAGCCGTCCCAAAGATGAGAGCAGTACTCCATACAGGACCGAACCTGTGCTTGGTACAGGCTCAGCAATTAGTGAAATTCAGCAATTAGTATGCCGCCTGCTTTTGCGCTTCGGCACGTCCGCAGTCGGCATCGAACCAAGGACGGGTCCCACCAGAGGATGCCACGTCCGAGAATGGAATGTAGTATTCCATGCCCTGGCGCAGCACCCCTGTTACGGGTTCTGCACAAGCTGACGGGTCATCAGAAGAGAAGCAGACAGGCCGCCAAGGATAGAAAGCGAAAAAAGATCGCATCCCATGCCAGTCCGCTGACTTGTATCGCCACATCCACCGAGGTCCTCTGGGACTCGGATCTGGTGGGGAGTGTGTCGATACAGATTTCACCAGACAGTGGTCAGAGCTACCTAGAGGTGATGAGACTGTCACCGAGTAGCGGTCTGGATCAGTTGTCAGCAGAAGGTCTAAGCAATTGGCAGTGTGCGTATTGACATCGGGCACCCTTGTGGCTTCCTGGACCAGCTGGGTCAGGCCAAGCTTATGCATTTCCCTTCCAGCATGGTCGGTGCACTGGTATGGGAATAACCACTCCTGATGATGAGCGTTAAAGTCCCCCAGTAACACCAACTGGGCCGAAGGGTACGCCTGACGAGCCGCATCCGCCGCTTCGCCGAGGTATTGCGCTAATCTGGTCGCCTCCAAATCTCCGCTGTGCGACCGATAGATACAGGCATAAAGAATTTTCTCCATGCCTATGTCTACCAGTATCCAGAGAGCAGAAAAGCTTGGGTCTTCATGGTTTCGGAGACGCCGGTAATAGATGCCGTCTCGGACGTATACGCATACACCTGCATGCGGAACAAAATTGTGCTCCAGGGTAAAACCAGGATAGTTCAGGTAGGATACGTCCGACGGGCACCTGATCTGGGTCTCCGAGAGAAACAAGAGTGTAGGGTTCTCGGTCTCGAGGTGGTGATGGACCGCATTGACATACGTACGGCGTCACCGAGCATCGTGGCGGAACACGGCTGGGTCGCTTGGCGACACGCTTTTGCTCGGTGGGTGGTCATAAAGCCGGCGGCCGAAGCCTACCACCAAAGTGTCACCTGGTTAGCACCACCCAGAGGCCACGTGTAGGAATATTGATTTAGGGGTGCTCTCCTACGGACGAGGGTGACTCAGCCTCCAATTAGCGTTTGCAAATTAGCGAGTGTTATGCCATGTCTATTAGCCTAGTTTTATAAAGAAGATATTTATTATATTCTTTTGTGTTATCCTTCGTTTTTATAGTATTGTATTTATTTGTTAATTTTAATGAAAAAAGAGAGTGAAAATCATTAATTTGTTAGGATAAAATAATAAAAATGTAGGTAATAGTACAAACACACATCTTTCCAGTATATGCTGATGGCCGTGTGTGCATATCAATCCTGCATGCGCCTGGTGACGATCCCATGGGGTATGAAAGCAGTGCTGAGCGATGGTCGCCTGTACAAAGTGTGGAGAAAATACTACTCTCTGTCGTCAGCATGCTAGCTGGTAAGTCACCTAACATCTCGGTTATTCCAAATTTTAATAAAAGACAAAGCTTGTTTCTTTATTCCATTTACTCTTTTCTGCATCATCCAAAGTCAAGACTGATAATGCCATCGGCATTAATTGTGCTAGTATACGCGCATAAATAAATTAATTAAACAGTATATAGTGTACACATAGTCAATAGCAAAACATTGTTTGAAGTTCTGTTTAATTTTAGAGCCAAATGATGAGAGTGGTGCCAACGTTGATGCCGCCAAAATGTGGAGAGAAGATCGAGAACAGTTCAATAAAATTGCTGAGAAACTTGTCAGAAAAACCCTGAGTTTGGAATAGTTATACATAATGCGATAACATTAAGATCCAAGTTTAATCAATTTTCTGGGAGATAGCGGTTCTAACTACTTCATTCAATAGGTTATATCTTATACTATTATATAAAGCTTAAGAGTTTGTTTGTTTGAACGCTCTAATCTCGGTAACTACTGGTCCGATTTGTGAATAAATCTTTTTGTGTTGGATAGCACATTTATCGAAGAAGGTTATGAGCTACAAAAATCACGCTACGATCAATAGAAGCCGAGCAGTGCGGGTGAAGCCGCGCGGGAGTAGCTAGCCTACAATAAATATAAATACGCTTAGGCTTTCTGCATGCCAATTTATAAAACTATAAAATGATATTTTGAAAATCGTCTAAATTAGTCACATTCGCCCCGCGATGAGTAGATAATTATTGTTGTTACTATTATAAAGGAATGTTTTATGGAAAATAATAATTGAGCCACTATAATATTTTTACTGCCTTACTAATGAAAATATATAACTCCCCTGTTTTAACAGCCTGAATGCCTGATACTTATTTATTCTTTATATTTTACTTATTATTGAAAAGGAGAGACTATGGAACGCCATATGTTTTACGAATCTAACATACCTCGTTCGCTTCATCAACAGTCATCAATCATTTATGCCTGCTCGTCGGTTAAGAGTTAATTTGGCCCTTCTTTTAACATATCGCCAAACTGATCAATAAATATGCAGGGTGTATGGTGCATCTGTTACGTTGGTGGATTAATAATTTGTAGACGGTTTTATTATACTTGGATTTATTACAATAATGTGCAGGGCGCACGACGTGTACACACACTTAGACTATGACAGGTAGACAGCGGCGTTAGTGAGTAGTGTTCTACCTTATATAACACATTATAGTGAGGGGGCCATTACTTACTAAGTAGTGATGTTCATACATGTAACATCCCCCTTCTTAAGTTTAAACAATTACAATAGGACTTAATCTATTTCATCAATAAACCTCTTGGTCGGTTTGACAATACGACCTGACTTTGTCTTGTAGAATTCTGACTGGAGATCTTGAATTCTCCGACTCCTGTCATCTCTCCCCTGCGAAGGATGGGACCGCATAGGAGGGTTATCACTGTCATTACAATATTTATGCCTTAAGTGTACCCTATTTCTCCTATACTTAACTTTATTAACATCTTCAACTATGTATGACCTATAAACATTTATTTATACCTTGGTGACCTTTATAAATTCTTTCTAACATTTCTCTATACATTGACTTAGGAACTATTAATTTTGAACCTTTAAATATTAAATCTTTAATGACATGAATTTCAGCTTGAATATTCCAATATGGTTTTATATGGATCTACATTGTTTTTATTTTTAGGCCATCCTTCATAATAATATTTCTTTAACAATTGCAAACTTTTATCTTTCTTAGTTTCCTGACATAATTTTGTGCTATATTCATGACTAATTGCAAGATATGCATACATCAAATTGACATGACATGACATTTCTGACTCACTTTCAGGTATATAATGTTCCTGAATGGCTGCTCTTGACGAAGTATCTGATATATACATTTGTTTGCCAGGTACATGTATTACTTCTAAATCATATTTTTGCAAGGTTCACATCATACGTTGCAATCTCGCTGGTACATCATAAAGTGGTTTCTTAAACAAATATACCAGTGGCTTATGATCAATATGTACTGTTACTTTCTGACCATAGACATATTGGTGAAACTTTTCACAACCAAATTGTATTGCTAACAATTCTTTTTCAATTTGAGCATATCTTTCCTGGGTTATGGTAAGAGTTTTTGAACTATAGGTTGATTTGAACTTGGTTTGAGCAATAGGTTTTTTTTTGTAAAATAACTGCACCTAATGCTGACTTTGACGAATCCACTGACAAGACTAGTGGAATTTGTGGATTGTAATGAGCTAAGACTGGTGATCTAGTGATCTCCTCCTTCAGACTTTGAAGGCTTTTATTATGATTTTCATCCCAAATCCAGACTGAATCTTTTTTCAAAAGATTTCTTAATATTTTTGTCTTTTCTGACAAATTCTTTATAAATGGACCTAGGTAATTTATCATACCTAGTATTCTTTGCAACTCTTTGACATTGGTTGGTGTGGGCATCTCGAGTATTGCTTTGACTTTCTCTTGATCAACCCTAGCACCATCTTTATTGAATACATAACCAAGAAAACATACCTCAGACACTAAAAATTTACATTTTGACTTATTGAACTTTAAGTTGACTTGACATGCTCTTTGCATGACTTTATGTAATCTTTCATTGTGAACAGACTCATTTGGTCCATGAACTAAAATATCATCAATGAAGATTAAGACTCCTTCCAAATCACCGAACAAATTCATCATAACTCTTTGAAATATTTCTGATGAAGCACTAATACTATTATTTTTTTGCATTAGTCAAAAACATGAACTAAACATTTATTCAAATAAAAAACTTAAATTAAAAACTAAGTATAACTTAAAAAAATTAAAACTAAATATTACTAAATTAAATACCTATATACAACTAAAGATTAAAATTAATTATAAGAAAAAAACAAAAACAACTATTTACATAAAGCGTCGAAAAATTCGTCCGCATCGACGTCAGTGGGGAAAGTACCCAGAAGGCTGGCAGCATTGCCACGTTGTATGGCAATGCTTAACCTCTGACCGAGAAAAAGACCAGCCCTCTGGTCACGAGATGTGTCAACCAGGCGTTTTGAAATATTTTTGAATAATTTAAGTGCACTCGGACCCCACGGACCTAGCGTCTCAACCCCAAACGGCTCAAAGATATAACTACCAGCAAGGTTGTTATATTTGCGCCGCTTGAGGCTTTCTGCAGAGGCAGCAGCCGAACCAGCACATCCGCCGTTACTGGAAGATGAGAAGGTGCAAGAGTGTCGACGCAGGCAGCCCAAAGACTTTCGCAGCTTCCAGGGCATAATGGACATACCGTGATAATGTCGTTAATGCTGGCGTGTCGAGCTATCCGGCCCGCGCTTCTGCTACACGATAGGCCGTGGTGGCCGAGGTGGTCGACCATCTCACCGCATTGACAGCAATTCTTATTTTTATTTTGTTTGTGTAATCTCTCAGCGCAATGAGCGTTTTCATCATGGAGATTCACTTGACTTTGACTATTTCTATTTTGACTGTGTAATATCTCAGCGCAATGAGCGTTTTCATCATGGAGATTCACTTGACTTTGACTATTTCTGGTGTGTGTGTGTAATCCGACTACTGGCTGTTTCTGTGACTGACTGTATGACTGTTTTTGTGGCTGACTGAATGACTGTGCGTGTGGGTGATTTCTACTAGATAGACTATTTAAAATTCCAACTGTGTGTTGTGAATACGACTGTCTTACATATTTATTTTTATAACAGAATCTAGCAAAATGACCAAAAGAGTTACATGACCTGCATTGTACTCCTGTCGCTGGGCACCTCGCTCGATGAGACTGCCCACAGCGACCACACGTTGACGTTGGCTGCCGCATCGGACTCGGGGACCTCCTCGTGGCCCGATGTGACGCCTGACTTGAAGCCCGCTGTCGACAGATTCGTCGACCGCTGCTCCTTTGACTTAAATGCATGACCTCTGCGCCGTCCACGACGCCTGACTTCTTGACGATTTTTTCTGCATCTTGCTGTGCGACAATGAGAGTTTTCGCCAGTTCTCTCATTCTTTGATATGTTAGGTCGGGCTCTTGTAGCAACCTTTGCCGAATATGTGAGAAGTCGATGTGGAGATTGGCGATAAAAATATCTCGAATCATCGATTCCCTTAGGGTTCCGAACTCACATTCTCGACTTTTATTTTCGAGATCGGTTAGGAATTCATCGATATTTTCCTGTTCAGCCTGCTTACGCGTGAAAAATGTGTATCTGCACATGGTCAGATTTTTTCTTGGCTCGAAGTACTTATCAAATCTGGCTTTAACGTCTTTCAGCCTACCCTCGTCGATGTTGATATCGAACGTATTAAAAATTTCTATGCCCTTTGGACCTATGTGGTGCAAGAGGATTGCCACCTTCCTCTTCTCCTCAGACTTGTCCAGACCGGACGCCAGCATGTATAGCTCCAAACGCTGCCACCATTTCTTCCATGCTTCCGCGTTGTTGGCTGTTGCCTCCGACGACACCACGAGGTTTTTAATACCGGCCACACGGTACCTCGCGTCGCTTATTTCTTCTTTGTTCATACAAATGGTCAATTATTCTCGCAACCAATGACAGTAGACTGCGATCGAGTTCACTTAGATCTTTCGAATTGTAAGTAACAGAATAGCATGGCTGCTGCATCTGTGTGTAGAAACAGCTATAGACATGACATCCGTTTTAGATCGAGAAGTAGGAACGCAGAAATGTAGATATTGAGTGTAATGAATTATTCCTTTGATATCAGGCATTGACTAAGTACGTAGACGTAAGTTTAAAGTTTGATGTTTATGTTAGTGAAGTTTTCAATTATTTAGCTACTTCGGATGTTTAATCTGTCAAACACCAAGCGGTCACCGGTGACCGCGACCTATTGTTCTTTAATTGTGTCTATAAAACCGGTACTCGACGAGTTAATGTAGTTATGTATCTACTTATGTATGTACACATTTCAGTCACTGAATTTCTTAGTTGTTGGTTTCGTTATAGTCTATCTGAAACAGGGTACCTTGGGTACGATAAGATCGATCAGAGTCATTAGACGTTAGAAAAGAAATGAAGAATACGACTGGCTCATACTTATTAAATACCGCAATTTCAGTGTATCGAAGTATGTTTAGTAAGGTACTCTTACCTACTTACCAGTTACTACGTAGGGGATCTTTTCTTAGTCATCACTTTTGGCAGACCGTCGTGGTCGTTAGGTACAAGTTGTCGCCATTAGAATGGGGCGATTCAGAAAACGGAGGAACCTATCGGCAGCAGGGATTAAAAATACCGGTAAAGAACAGTTAGGGGTTATGCTCCGGAACCGGAATCAGAACC